TCATTCAGCAGAAAAAAAGCCATGCTGTCCAGCTGGTGCAAAATAGCATTCTCAAGTTGGTACATATCAGTGCTCACACTTCTCTTTTTTAAGCAACCTCTTATTGGGCAGAGAGAGGATAGCCTTTTTCCCCTGCCAGTCTTCATCCACTTCCCTTGTCCCAAATAATAGGCAAGGGAAGATACAACTGCAGCAGCCATTTCAAGACTGTTACCTCATTGCATGCCTTGGCACAGCTCAGTATTTTCCTCTCTTCTTTCAGACAGTTGTGGATGATCATTGCCATGTGTATTGGGTCTTCTTGGAAGTTGTCCTAGCATTAGAGACACAGCCTATTGTTAAAGTTCATACACATAATTTTTTGTCTTTCAGTAACTTTCAGACTGGCAGAAAAAATAGGGAATGACCCGAGTGTGAGCCTCAGGGAACACACTGGCCACAGCCTGCTCCAGGATTACAGGGTGTGACAGCCACAACCAGCTCCAAGAGTGAGTTTCCACTGTAATTCACTGGCATACGAAGAGACAGGACTGGCATAAAACAACAGGAAAGGGTCTGAGACATTCCTGGGAGATGTGGGATACTACCCTACAGGCCTAGAGAAAGCTCATTCCTCAAGAGCCACCCTCCCACACCTTGGTATGGCTGCTGGTTTAACACACAGTCCAGGCTGGATGCAAATTCCACATTATTGTTTTACCTGCACACAAAGCTGAAATGTGCTCGGGATTGAGTACTGCCCTGCTCAGAATGGTGTTACCCTCTGGGGTTTTCTTTTTCCTAGAGTTCTCAAACTGTAACTGTGCTGATAATTAAACTGTAACATTCTAGCTGTAGCAAATCAAAAGAAAAATGGAGAAACACTTGAATTCTGGCTTTTAAAGCAGGATTCTCACACATCCTCTGTGAAAATCTGTCACAGCAGGGTAGCTGCTTAGAGGCATTCAACTGCCCTGAAGCAAATCAAGCACATGTATAGATATATACATAACATATAGATGTGTAGATTGTATAGATAACCCAGGCATACCTGAAGATTACGTTTGCTTTTCCTTATGTTGTGCTGCAGCAAAAAGTTGTTTTCTATCAAGAATCTACTAAATTGATCATCAAGCTGTGACAGAAGGTCATGGAATAACAGTGTAGCAAATGATACATTGTTGGCCGCATGTTCCCTGGAATAATTTAAAGCATACTTGGGTTAAATACACTTCCAATACAAGAGCCAAGAAATACATACAGGTGTACTTGATTTTTAATCCCCAACTTCAGTTGTAGAATATGCAAGCACTGAGAATACCTTCAAATCTAAGCTAGTTTCATTCTCTTAACTGACATTACTTTCCTTGTAAAGGAAAGAAATGTATCTCTATTCATTTTTGCCAGATTCTGTTCAAATTCACGTAACTCATTCAATGACATCAGGAACCTAAAAGTGACCCTGATGCATGTGCATTTTGTACCACTCCTCAAAAAGAAGACACTCCACAGAAAGCCTGGCAGAAGTTCGGAGTCTTTAGAGAGTGAGAGACTGATGCTACCAAGGTAGTAACTAATTGGTCTTAAAACAGCCACTTTTGTTCTGGACCACTGAGAGCATTATGAGCAAGGACACTTACTCCAGGTATCAGGCCCCTCTAGAAAGCCCTGAAGAGGAACAGGAACACAGAGCACCCACACAGCTACTGAAGCATCCTACCAGCAAAGGATCACCTAGCAGCTTGCTTCCCCAGCATTCTGCTGCTGCCTGTAAGTGCACTTCTGAGGGCACTGCTTATCACACAACCCAAAGCATAATTAATTCCTGGGCTTACCAATCCTGGTTTTCCAGCCACTGTGCCAGGTACTGCCTGATCTCCATAGGAAAGCTGTCATCATACAGCTGGTGAACTTGCTCCAAAAACTTGGAATCCAGTTGCTGTAGTTGATACCACTGAGACATTCTGAGGAAGGGGTGAAAAAAAAGTCAGTGTAAATGTTGTAGTAGTATTCAGACTGAACTGGTGAAAAATAACTAATTTGAAGTTTTCATGAACATTGACAAAATTGGAGGATGTGCTGATTTTGGCTGGGATAAAATTTATCTTGTTCACGGTAGCTAGCATGGGGCTGTTTTGGATTTGTGCAGGAAACAGTGCTGGTAAGACAGGAATGTTTTTGCTACAGCTGAGCAGGGCTTACACAGCATCAAGGCCCTTTCTGCGCCTCACCCCACCTGTGAGGAGGCTGGGGGTGCACAAGGAGCTGGGAGGGGACACAGCTGGGCAGCTGACCCAAGGGACATTCCAGACCACGTGGCATCGAGCTCATAGAGCTGGGGGAAGGAGAAGGAGGCACAGGGGGTATGCTGCATGATGGTGCTTGTCTCCCCAAGCCACAGTTAGGCATGATGGAGCCTGGCTTTCCTGAGATGGCTGAACTCCTCCCTTTGGCTTTCCTGTGTACATGGCTTTTGCTTTACCTGTTAAACTGTCTTTATCTCAGCCCATAAAGTGCCTCACTTTTACCTTTCTGATACTCTCCCCATCCCACCGTGTAGGGAGGAGGGGAAGTGAGTGAATGAGTGGCTGTGTGGTGCTTTTTTTTCCTTTTCCTCTGAACCCATTTTCATGGCATTTATGGTACTGCTAGTGTTACTGCTCTCTTGCTTAGCAGATATGGGAATGAGGACCTCTGTTTTTGATACCTGTACTCTGCATAACTGAGATCCTCATCATGGAGTATCACCTTTTGCTTGTGCAGATGCATTCCCCAGCACCAAGAGTGTGAGTGAACAAGCCCTCTAAGTGCCCATTTTCAGTTGCTATTTGTGTTCACACTTGCTTGCTCTGAAAATGGACTACATCTCAAGCAACTTTAAATGAAGAAGTACTAGAAAGATTTTTTTTTTTCTGTGTTTCAGTTCTCATGATCATATTTTCAGGCTAAATTCAAGCAACCTGTGCAGCAGATACAGGGTGCTTAAATGAACTAAGACTGTGCAGAACGGTTTCTCTCAGTCTAACACTTTTGTGAGAGTCGCTTCAGCTCTGATGTATGGTCTCTAGAGGCAGATCACTTAGCCGCCTAAGCTGCAGGTTATCAGCTTGTAGTGGAAATGGTATGTAAAGACATGCCAAGGGCATATTCTCCAATTTTGAGAATTCTCCATATTTGCTAATTCTCAGCCCAGGCTGAGAATACAGGTGGTGAGATGCAAATCCACTCACATCTTTGTTTTTTAATGGCTGTTTATAGGACCCATCCAAAAGAACAGGCAGCATCAGGATGAAGCACTATCTTCTATGCCCTTTCCTACCAAATCCTTTTGTTTTTATATGCCAGTGCCCTCAGCTGCTGAGAGGCGTGTGCTAGGTGTGAGAAGCAAAGGAATTAGAATTGTTATGTTTAAAGTGAGGGCTTTGAGGCTTTTGATGTGTGTGCTTTTCAGATTACAGCTAACACAGCATTTGAGTGTGCTATAGCAGTCCCAAAGAGGGGGAGATTCCATGACCTCCCTGGGCAACCTGTTCCAGCGCTCTGCTGCCCTCAGTGTAAAGTTCTTCCTCATGTTGAGGTGGAACTTGTGTTTTAGTTTGTGTCCACTGCTCTTTATTCTGTCAGCGGGCACCACTGAAAAGAGTCTGGCAACATCCTCTTGGCACCCGCCTTTCAGTTATTTATATGTAATGAGATCCCCTCTCAGTCTCTCTACTCCAAACTAAACTGGTCCAGCTCCTGCAGTCTCTCCTTATAAGAGTACTTCAGGTCCCTCATCGTCTTTTTGACCTCTGCTGGACCCTCTCCAGTAGCTCCTCGTGTTTTTTGTACCGAGGAGAGCAGACCTGGGCACAGCACTCCAGATGTGCCTCACTAGGGCTGAGCAGAGGCGGCTGATCACCCCTCTCGACCTGCTGGCCACCCGATGCACCCCAAACTCCTTCCCGGCCCTCCTCTATCTCCTTTCCTGCCGTGGCCGGGGATCGCGGCCGATGCGCGCGGCGGGGCTCGGGAGCAAAGGGCGCTCGGCCCGCCCCGGGCCCGCGTTCCCCGCGCCGGGGGGAGCAACGCACCTGTTCGGCGACGGCTGCCCCGCGGCGCTGGAGGAGCGGGATCACCGGGATCGGCGGTGTGTGGGGACACTGGCCCGCTTCCAGCGCTCCGGGCAGCTCCGGAGAGGCGTCGGAGAGGGTGAGCTGCGGACAGCGAGCAAAGAGCCGGGCTTGAGAGCGGATGCGACAGACGACAGAGGAGCCGGAGTGTCCCTGTCAGGAATGAAGACCGCTAACAGACACCTCTTTTTCCCCAGGGGTAAGTACACCAAAGCGCAAAACTCCGTGGGCGTCCCGCGGGCAGGGGCAGTCTGAGGAAGCGACAAGCTTTAGTTTCACCGGGCATTCACCCCGCCAGCCCCCAAGGCGCGGGCAGTGCCAGCGCCATTCCCCGGCCCCTCACGCCCGCTCCCCTCACCTCGGCTACGGCTCGGCGCTGCCGCGGGGCTGGCTGCGCTCCGGGAGCCGCGGGGGCGGGCCGGGGGCGTTCTCGGGATGCGGGCGGTCACGTGACTTCTGGGAAGGGCGGCGAAGGCGAAAGCGAAACCAGCGCGGGGCCCTGAGGGCGGCGGGGCCGGGCCGGGCCGGGCTGGGCTGCGCTGCCCTCACGGAGCCGCCGCCTCCAGCCCGCCCTGTTAGCCCCAGCGCCGATAAGCTGCCGGCAGCCGCAGCGTTGTTCCCTTCCCATCCCACCCCAAGCCCTGCTCGCAGGAATAGTGTCCATTCGTGTCGCTGTCTCTCTGTCCAGCGTAGCCCTTCTGGGTTTTGTCTGGTGTTGGGAGCCGGCAAAGAGCGGGATGCTGAAGTCTGGGCTCTGCTGCGGCACTCCAGGGTAGTCTGTGCCCCTTCCCTCAGATGGAGGAGGCAGGTCTTCATGACAAAAACGAAGTAGATCTGTTTGGTGTGAAATACTAGGGAGCAGTAGATCTATAAACATGGCTATGAATAAAAGCAATGGAAGAAAGTAACTGAAGGTTTCATGTTTATTAATTAGGATCATTACAGTGTCACACCAAGACAATGCACAAAACAATCACATTTTTACTTTGCTGCTGCAAAACGCAGCAAAAGGACAGTTAGTAGAACTACTTAAAAGCAATTTTTGTTTTTGTTTTGGTGGTAGTATCTAGGCACTCCTTTTTTGTGATTTTCCTCCACACCATCGTTTCACTGAAGAGCTGTGTTCTTACTCATTGTAGCATAAGGACAAAATTCTCATTTTTTTTAAAGGAAGGAGGCTTGGTCTGTATGTATTCATCCTACAGATAGATTATTCCAGTGTTCCTTTAAAGCACTGAAATAATCTCAAGCAGATCTTTTCAACAAAATGTTAAGTCTACCCTACGCAGCAATCTGATCTGAAGCAATAGCAGGAACTGTCATGCCAAAACCTGATCCATTATGATGTTCAGAAACACCAGTTATATTGGGCTGAAATTAATACTTGAGAGTCTTGAAGGGTTGCCTTGCATGGAGAGCAGGGAAGAAAGAAAAAGGAGACTGGTTCGCATGCCATGTCTGATCTTGTCTTACAGTACTTCTCATGAACTTTAGATAGTAAAAAAATTAAAGGTATCCCCCATTTTGTTTGTATTAAAATTATGGGAAGAGGTTAGAATGAAAAGGCACGCAACAGCCGTGGTTAGGGGAGGTCATGTTTCCTGGTTTAGAATTATGTGTTACTGTTTAAGTAACACAGTTTAAGGTCAACCAAAAGGCATCAAGACTGTTTTTGCTGTGCCTTGAAAAAAATCTGCAGAGTTTTAGATATGCAACTTGAAGCCAAAATCTGATTTTATTCATGCTGGTTATATAGATTACAGATACTACCAAGCTATATACAGAATTGCTCTTCTTGTCTTTTATTTTATACGTGATGCTTAGTGAACTTACATGCAGCTTACTTTGAATCACTCAGTGTAATGAACAGAGATGTGTTTGTTTCTTTGAAATCTACTTCTGTGTATCACAAAAATATCTCATTAATTTGTTTCCGCTCACTCACTCTCAACTAAGGTAAATAGCATGGATGAAAGAAAAAATGAAAGTAAAATCTATGTCTTACTGATTCAAGGAGGTTATGTTTCCATCACAGAAGTCTCATTTATACCTGCTTGAGAAAGCAGCAAGGTGCAAATGTTCAGGGTTTGTGTTTTACTAACTTTGCATGCATTAACCACGTGTTCTATGGGCAAGGCTTGCATCCTGACTGAACCTGCATTTGTGAAATACAGTGGCCTTGGAGTTGCCTGTTTATTATTTTATGAACAGCAGTTTTAGGGGTAACACTGGGGGAAATAAAACCAAAACAACAAAACCAAACAACCCAAACTGAGGAGTAAACACACCTGAAAGAAAAAAAAGAAGTATTTAAACAGGGCAATTTATCATTTTTACAAGGACTAGTTGTCCTGCTTATTAAGTGAGTCTGTGACAGGCATGTAATATCCTGTCATGCAGCAAAAGTTTCCAGGTGGTCTGCAAATGCTGCAGCTCTTCAGTAACTGTTTTTAAAAGCTGTTTCCCTGTTGCCATGGACTGATTAGCCTTCAAACTGTGTCAGATCAAGATTTTCTATTTGTGGACATTCTGACAGTACTTGCTGGAGTATTTGAGTGCCTCCTGCCCTAAGAGATTTACTTCTGCAACTATTTTGTGAGAGGGGAAGTTTTACTTACTCTCTCTTCCAGTGGAGAAATGGAGACAGCATTTCTAACACCACAAGTTTTATGTCTGCTTCCTTTCTGGAACACCCTTCTCTCCCCAGCCTTGCCTACCTGCCTTCCACAACTTCTACTGTGGTATATCAAATGAAAATCTATCTTGAAGGCAATTCATCTTTGGAGAAAAGCAAACCCCAGATACCTCTGGAACATTCAAAGTCAGGGAACAAGAATCTTTGCTTTGAAATAGTATCTAAATTAGTCGTGTATAAGATTATGCATAAGCAGAAAGTATTTAACATAATAGATCCCAATTTCTCCAAACACATTAATGTCTTTAGTTACCTTTACATACTGTCTTCAGAAGCAAAACATTTTGTTCTTATGCATTCATATTTACAGCAATTCTATGGAAATTAGTTAAATTAGCAAGTAAAATTTATCTCTGCTGGGACCTCACTGAAGTCAAATGACTCCCAAGCCAGAAAGGATTTGGTCTTTTTCAATGACAACACCAAATCTGACTTGCAAAAGGCTGTTTGAATTCCCTAGGGAGAAAATTCATTGTGTTTTTGATAATAGAAAGAGGCCTAAGAATAACATGGTTTCCAGAAAAGCTGACTTTCAGAGGTGACAGGATTATGACTTCTTTAACTCATCCAATGTTCACACAATTACTGATTTTTCTAGTATGTGCGCTTCAGTCAGTTGAGTAAGGAGAACTCAGCTAGAAGAAAAGAAGGACAGGATTAGTCTCATGGCACTCACAGCTGTTCATTCAAAAGAAACTGCAAATGAAACTTTCTCTGGCTCAAGGTAACTGCAGAGTCACTTTGACCATGTCATAAAAACTGATAAGGATCTGAAAATCCTGATTCTAGTTGTTTAGAAAATAGAGGAATGCTCTTTAGAAGATACTGTGTAGGAAACTGTTGCAATAAGAATAAGCATGGTATTTATTTTTGTATAAACTTTTGTGGTTCTTGAAGCCTGTGGATATGTATTTCAGGGTTCTTCCTGGAGTCTTGTTTTTTTTGGATGGATAATGGAAGCTAGACAAGCTGGACAGGGTGGGGGGAATAGAAGGGAATTCAGCAAGACTGCAGAAAGTATATCTTCCTAAGACTGACTCAGTTGCAGGATATTTTGTCCTGCTGCAGATTTAACTCTTGTTTTCTGTATCTCACACAATGCTTTTTTATTGGCATTTCATGAAGTAAAGGTATTGCTTTAATAGTGCAGATTGTCTGCTTGCTATACTAAGCCAGCTCTTCAGCAGGGTAGATTGTTTTGTGAATTTGATAAAGAAAAAACCTCCATATTTCCTTCTTTTCCATTTAGCAAGGTAAATTGAATGGAAAAGGAAAGAATTCTTTAAAAATCCTCTAAAACTATTTTTCTCATGCAACTTCTAGCAGAACTTGAAAACATTTCTAGTAAGAGCCTACAGAAATACCACTTGCCATCTAGCAGCATTGAACCATTCATCTTGGTACCTTTAAAATTATATTTAACACTTTCAGTTTGCAACTAGGCACATTCATTTTGTCAGGTTATGACCCTGAATGATGGCCATGGTCACAGCTTATTTTGAAGCTCTGAATGGAGCTAATTTGAGATTTACTGTGCATGCAAGAAGAAACCAAAAATGTTTGGAGGCTGATGTTAACTGAAAGTGAATCCATTTATTCTTTACTCTGACGAAAGTTCAGGAAAGCAAATGCGTGCTTTGTTCCTAAGTGCACTTGAGGAGGTCAGATCCATTTCCACATGTTATAAACCAAAACAGATATAAGAGAATACATCTCTTGGATTGGCTGGGGTAGGTTTTAATTCAGAGTTTTAATTCAGGCTGGTTATTTAATTTTCAGCTAAAGAACTAGTTTATCACAAGTGCTATCAGAGAAAAAAAGTGAAGAATAAAAAAGATATCTTGCTCTTGAGTGGATTTTTAGGTTGATGTATTAACTCATCTATTTGTATATAAAGTTTATCTTTACTTCTAATCACAAACAGGATTCTGGTTTAGTTTTGTTCTGTTTGTGAGTAAGGAGAAGTGTTTACAGAGAGGCATTTGAAGGGGAGTTGGCAGGCTTTTAAATATATAACCACTCTAAGGTAATATAAGGGTGGTGGGCTAGTACTAAAAAAGGATAAACTTAAGGGGTAGTATTAAAAAAGGAGATTTTCTTCTAAAGCTGCTAGAGCCAAACCACTGCTGTGTTTCCTGAGAAAAGTCTGCTGTACAAATTCCCACCTGGCTATAGATCATTGCTCCGAGGACTCTGAGCCATGATGATTCAGAATGTCATTTCTAGTCAATAAGGAAAAGGGGGATTTTTTTTAAAAAATTATGTTAGTAGAGTATTTTCCTAATCTTTCTATATACCTAATATTACTTTTCTTTGCTGAAAGTGTTTTAGTTGACTTTTAATTTTGCACTTTGAAAGCCCATGTAAAACCTTGCAGTGTGAAAAAGTTGTGCAAGTTTGCTGAATTGGAAATTATCATGTTCCTTGGGCATCTCCCCTGAGCAAGTCCAGGCCTTTGTGCTGTCCAGAGAATTAGTATAGGTGGCATGTATTTGCCAGTGTAAAGCCTTCATTTGTGCAAGAACTCTGGGATCTTTGTGTTCTGACATTCATGATTCATTGGCCAGCATGCCAGGCAATTCTAGTGCTTTCAAGATGCTTGCAGTGTCATGTACCATCTAGAATAGAAAATATGTGCACCATTGTTTCAGAATGTAATGCAGCAAATGGTGAAAGAGCTCTGATTCATAGTTGTACAACCAGCCTTTTATTAACCAGCATCTGTGCTGTATCCTGTTTCCTTAATACTTACTTATGAATGGGAAAGTTTACAACTTACAGCAGTTTCAATGGCTGTGGGGCTCAGGTGTTCTCTCAGCACAGCATAAACGCTTGGAGACATTGGAAGAAGATCTGATGGAGAATGTGGTTCTGTAGAGTCATTTAAGCTAAAAAGAAAAAAAACAAAAGCAAACAAAAATTTGCAAAAATAATCTTAGAAAAAACTTGACTCCCTCTATGCATATCAGTGGAGTATGATGAATGTTTTTAAAATTCGTTAACTCTGTCCTCAGGCTTGCTGGTGGCCCTGTAAGCTCATGCCAACAACCCGGTATACACTTAAAAATGTATGAGATTTGAGTCAGGTTTGTCCTCTTTCCTTGCCCCTAATATCAGCTGCTGGGGGAAAAAAGGAAACAGTGAAAGAAAAGTAGATCAGAGTACCATAAAATCTGCATTCCATTTTTACAGATAGTTTGCCCCATGAATGGAAAAAGCACTCTACAGGGAAGTCCTTTACTTCTTTTTCTTGTCTTTAGCAGTCCTTGCAAAACTATTTTCAAATAGTTTGGGGAAAGGAGGCAGGGGAAATTCTGAAATAGGATGTGAATTAGGCAAATGTCCAGTCTGGATGAGCAATCAGGTTTTGAAAGAACTTAGGAAAAAAAAAAAAAAATACGTATCATCTTCTCAGGAAGTATTTAAGAGAGCTGCTAGGGCATGTAGAAAAAAAAATTAGGGAGGCCAAAGCTCAGTTTGAACTTAACTTGGCAACTTCTGTTAAAAATAATAAAAAAAGTTTTTACAAATATATTAATAGCAAAAGGAAGGGTGTAACGGACCTCTGTTCCTTGTTGGATCAGGCAGGCAACCAACCTAGTAACTAAAGATGAGGAAAAGGTGGAAATGCTTGATGCCTTCTTTGCCTCAGTCTTAAGTGGTAATACAGCTTGTCTTCAAGATAGCTATCCTCAGGGGTTGGTAGGTGGTGTCAGGGATCAGATTGGTCCTCTTGTTACCTAAGAAGAGGCAGTCAGAGAACTGCTGGGACACTTGGATATTTATAAATCAATGGGACCAGATAGGATCCACCCTAGGGTGATGAGGGAGCTGGCAGACGAGCTTGTGAAGCCACTCTCCATCATTTATTAAGACTTGTGGCTCACTGGTGAAGTTCCAGACGATTGGAAACTGGCCAATGTGACACCCGTTTATAAAAACGGTAGGAAGGAGGATCCTGACAATTACAGGCCAGTTAGCCTGACCTCAGTACCTGGTAAGATAATGGAACAGTTCATACTTAGTGCTATCACACAGCACTTACAGGATGGCCAGGGTATCAGACCCAGCCAGCAGGGGTTTATGAAGGGTAGGTCACGTCTGACCAACCTGGTCTCTCTTTATGACCAGGCCACCTGCCTGGTGGATGCAGGAAAGGCTGTGGATGTTGTCTATTTGGACTTCAGCAAGGCCTTTGACACTGTCTCCCACAGCACACCTGGAGAAGCTGGCAGCCCATGGCTTGGACAGGAGCACTCTTTGCTGGGTTAGGAACTGTCTGGATAGCCAGGCCCAGAGAGTGGTGGTGAGCAGTGCTGCATCCAGCTGGGGACAGTCACCAGTGGTGTCCCTCAGGGCTCTGTGCTGGGACCAGTTCTATTTAATATTTTTATTGATGACATGGATGAGGGCATCGAGTCTTCATTAGTAAATTTGCAGACGATACTACGCTGGGAGCTTGTGTTGATCTATTGGAAGGAAGGAGGGCTCTGCAGAGAGACTTAGATTGGTTGGATGGACGAACAGAGTCCAACAGCATGAAGTTTAGTAAGTCTAAGTGCTGAGTTCTACATTTTGGCCACAAAAATCCTCTACAGCGTTACAGGCTGGGGACCGTGTGGCTGGACAGCGTTCAGGCGGAAAGGGACCTGGGGGTGCTGGTCGACAGCCGGTTGGATATGAGCCAGCAATGTGCCTTGGTGGCCAAGAAGGCCAATGGCTCCGTGCCTGCATTAGGAATTGTGTGACCAGCAGGAGCAGAGAGGTCATTCTTCCCCTGTACTCGATGCTGGTGAGGCCACACCTTAAGTGCTGAGTCCAGTTCTGGGCCCTCAGTTTGGGAAGGACATTGAGGTGCTTGTGCGCATCCAGAGGAGGGCAACAAGGCTGGTGAGGGGCTTGAACACAAGCCCTGTGAGGAACGTTTGAAGGAACTGGGTTGTTTAGTCTGGAGAAGAGGAGGCTTAGAGGTGACCTTATTGCTCTCTACAGCTTCCTGAAGGGAGGTTGCAGACAGGTGGGGGTCGGTCTCTTCCACCGGGCAGCAACTGGCAGAACAAGAGGACACAGCCTCAAGCTATGTCAGGGAAGGTTTAGGTTGGATATCAGGAAAAAGTTTTTCACTGAAAGAATAATAAAGTACTGGAATTGTCTTCCCAGGGAGGTGGTAGAACCACCATCTCTGGATGTGTTTAAAAAAGACTGGATGTGTCATTTAGTGCTATAGTCTAGTTGAGGTGTTAGGGCATAGGTTGGACTTGATGATCTTAGAGGTCTCTTCCAACCTCATTATTCTGTGATTCTATAAATTAAATAAAAGTAACAGTTAAAGTGTAACATACCTCTGAAGATACTTACATTTTGGAGACTGGGATAAATACAGAAGGAACATAACCTTTCCCTCCTCCATCCGAGGGTTTTGAGACTAGAATAAATAGTAGAGAAGTTAAATATTGTGTAGTCATTTTATTATCTATTTGAAATGGATTATTTGCTTGCAGTACTGCAGACAATAATAAATTGTGAAGTCCCTGCATAAATAAATAGCCATGAAAGTGAGGGGAATTCCTGATATTAGTCCTTGAGTTCAGATCTTAGTCACAGAATTGCCTGTGCTCCCTTGATATGAATCACAAGATAATACTGCAACTGATGAAAGAGATTTCGTTAGGCCTTCAAAGCAAGTATACAGTTCTTTAAGTTTGGTACTCTGAGCCTGCAGATTTCAGTTCTGCAAATGCTTGGAGCTCTGTCTCTATAGATATAGCTTCAGCCATGTATTCTGTATTCTAATTCTTTTGCACAAAATTAAGCCTATATGTAAGATTTTAGATGATTGGAGCATTAGGTAAAGTACACTGAGTTAAAATGAAGAGGGAGAAAAATACTGTAGTCTCCAAATATTTTTGAGTTGTGTAGGAATTTGAGTTCAAATGGAATTGTAACCTTTGATACTGAAATTCTAGAATAATGTGTTTTATCTATTAAAAAATTAAGGCTTAGAGGCTTTCTTTAAGTGAGAATGAATTTGATCTAAAAATGAGATGACTTGTAACTTGGACAAAAAAGAACATGAGCCTGAACATATTTGAAACCATCCTTGTTAAGGCTTTTTGAATTTTCCAGTGCAGTTGCCAAAGGTTTTCAGAAACATTGTCTGCCATAATAACTTTGTAATTGTGCAGTATATTGGCAAAAGGTGGTACAGATAAACAGCCTTTTTTTAGGGTTCCATTGCATGAAATGAAACCAAGTAGGGGTTCCAAGCTGTTTGGGAAATACTGAGTTTTCTTGAAATTAAAGCGACAACATGCTACAGTGTAACACAACTATGCAGTCAATAAGCAGGATGACTTTTCAGTTTCCTCTCCATTAAACACCCAAGCACTGAATTTTGTGGTGCATCAGTCAGGGGGAAAAAAAAATCTATTTCTTAGCTTTTTTTGAGTATTGTCATCACCTCTAATGTAACCTCTAAGACTAGAGCTGTATTTGCAAAATGAAGCTGTCTAAATGACAGACACATGTTAAAACAGTTCTCTTGAAGATGACTATTAAAGGAGGCATCTTAATCTGTTCTCTCCCTCCTCTCCCTACAGTCCTCAAATTGCCTCTTGACTTTGCAGCTGCTGTGCAGGAAGGGTTAATAGAGAAATGGAGCCTCTACCTTCGTTTGGCTGACAGCTGTAGTGTTTGCCAAAGGCCTTATCTTTAGGGATATCTGGATACAGGTACTTCAGGGGGTTTTCAGGAACATTGTCTGCCATGATAACTTTGTAATCGCGCAGTATGTCGGCAAAAGGCAGGGCAGATAAGCGACCTTTGTTGTAGGGTTCCACCGAATGAAATGTTACATCTCCTGCAAAAACACAAAGGCACCATAACTTACAGATGAGCAGCTGCAGCACATTTTTGCCTTTCCTTTGAGGTTTACACTTGTATAGGCGTTACCTGTTCTTACCTATGTTAGTACCTTTCAGTATTTAATTTCTGCATATTTGGAAACAAATCTAAAGCCTGCAGTTAGCAGGTACACCTCATAGAGAGCTTTGTTAATGTAAAGAGCTCAGAATGTCAGAGTTTTGGTTTGTGTTTGAGAAATTATGACACTTGTATCTTGTCCAAAACCATACTACGACCAGATACATGTAAATTTTACTTTCAAACCAAACAAAACTTCACTCCTGTATTGCAGGTATATTGCAGAGTTTGAGTTTTTGGCCTGGAGTTTTTTAAAATTTTAATTATACTTACCATTTTCTAGCTGATCCACCCAAGTAAAGGTAATTCCACCCAGATTGCTCTCACTAAACCTTAATAAAAATGTTCCTGGTGTCTTGTCTTTCAGCAGAATTCGTTCCTTTTCTTTGCTTACAAATCCCATTACGTACCTGAGGTAAAACAGGAAATCATGGGTTTGCTTTTGGAAAAAAATACAGACTTTAATCTGTGCAATGTGTAGAATCATAGAAGGGCCTGGTTTGGAAGGGACCTTAAAGTTCACTTGGTTCCAAACCCCCTGTTGTGGACAGGGACATCTTTCACCAGACCAGGTTGCTCAGAACTATCCAGCCTGGCCTTGATCTGGCGAGACTTTATACAGGTGTTCAAAACCTGGTTACAAAGCTTTATGAGGCTTGGGTACTATGACCAAGGCTTTTTGTGATTACACATGGAGTATGGCATTGAGCTCAAAGGACTATGAAGCCTGTTGAAATTTATCCCAGTGCTTGCTGGAATGGACAGAACTGAAGAATAGATCTAAACCTGCATTTCTAAGAGATGCCATGTTGTTCCCCTTTGGCAGCAATTTCCAAAAGTTATGAATGGGAGAAGGGAGACAGAAATGTTAAACTCGTTGCAAATACTCCTCTGCATGGCTAAAACTGACATGAGTAAAGGACAGAGAAAATGTGGAGAGAGATCAATATACACCAGTTCCCTTTTTGCTCACCCATCAATCCAAAGAGGAAGAATGTGTTTTTTAATCAAGTCCAGGATTGCTTCAAGCCAAACCCAAAAGGTAAAAGACTTCCCAGGCAAATGTTCCTAACAGTTAAAAAAACAACCACAAACACAAACAAAACCCCACAACCAGCCCCCACACAAACAACCACAAACACAAACAACACACACGAGAGGAGAATCATGAGCGTGATGTTACCCAATGTTGCTGACAGTTCTCAGTTTCTTAAAAATAAACTACTTTTCTCAAGTGAAAATCACAATTTGAGCTGTGGTTTTGAGTAACATCTCTCTTTCAACCTGACCTAAAACCAACTGATTTATAAGATATGTATTTGAAGCACCTAGTTTTCAGGGAAAATAAAAATCACATATGTGGTTTCTTCCTAGTTATAAATTTGTATTTTGAGTGAAAAGATGATGAGAAAGTTGAACTTCCCTCCAAGATTCTGCACTTGTTTAAATAACATAGTTAGTATAAATTAAAGGAGCTTGCCCTTCTTTATCAATATATTCTCTGTTCCTCATCAAAGTTATTGCATATATTGACTGTCTTGAAATAATTTAGGTCAAAACTAAACATATTAAAAATCTTACTTATTCTTTATGAAAAATGTATTGCCTTCTTTGGTGAGACTTTCAATTGATCATATACAGAAATATATAAGGCACACTGTAATGGCAGTTTCTGATATCTGTAGCAATATAACTAAGTAGATCCCTAATCCCAAGCTTTAGGATTCTGGAAGTGTTTTCTCCCTAGTTAAATTTTTACAAAGGATGTGATTATGCTGAGCTGGAAGTCCCACATATGGCAAGTGGGAATCTTAGCAGCAGCATCAGAGAAACAAAGATAGGCATGGCTCTGGGTGTTATGAGAAATAAGAATTTAGTGTTACTTTTGGAACAGTACCTTGCAGAACTTTGCCCAGGATAGTTGATAATCATTGTAACTGACTTGCTGTCCTGAAAGAGGGGAAAAAAAAAAAAGCCCAAATGGTACAGGTATTATGCTGAAGTTATGAAATAGATATTGCTTGATATCTTTATAGTTGGGTGTGGGGAGTGAGGGGAGAAGTACAATACATCCTGACTTGGGGAGGGGTATGCTAAGGGACTGTAGATCTGGTTTTCTGTATTCTTTCGAAGCAGGTGATAATAGTTTTGGATATACTTGCGTAAAGTAGCCTGTGACTTGGTTTTTGCAACACAATGTGCTCAGTTTCAGTTTTTAGCCTAAATGTTACTTCTCATCTTTCCCCAGGGCCTCTCCCTTGTGGGGCACACTTGGGTCTCAGAGTACTCAGTAGTTCATCTTGCTGAGGTTACAGGGCCTCTTGGCTGTGCTGACACCAGTGAAGTATCTCTGGTGAGGTCCCAGAAATGAACGAACCCACAAGGACAGATACTTAAAATGAAAAAAAAACAAAACCCAAACAAAACCTCATAAGCAAGCAAAAATATTTCCTTTTTATTTCAGATGTATGAGATAGTTGTTAAGAAACCAAAACAACATTACAGTTCGGTGTGACTTTGATGCCCTCTTCCTTTGGTTGAGCAGCCTGGAAGTTCGAAAGTTGAAATACTCTGTGATAAGAATAAGCTGACACTAGCTTTTCTTTAAAGCAAAGAATTGTCATTGTGACATTTTTAACATCAGCTCTGGAAGTGGAGGTCATGCCATGCTGGTTTTGGCTGGGGTGGAGTTCATTTTCTTCACAGTAGCCAGTGTGTTTTGGATTTATGCTGGGAACAGTGTTGGTAATACAGGGATGTTTTAGTTCTTGCCAAGGAGGGCTTACACACAGTGAAGGTCTTTTCTGCCTCTCAACCCTCCCATGAGCAAAGGGGCTGGGAGTGCTGGAAGCTGGGAGAGGACACAGCTAGGATAGCTGATCCTAACCGGCCAAAAGGATATTCTGCACCATATGGTGGCATGCTCAGCATGTCTACTTAGGGGTAAGAAGGAGGAAGGAGGGGATGTTTGGGGCGATGGCATCAGTCTTCCCAAGTAACTCCTTTGTGTGATGAATCCAGTCCTGATTTCCAGGCTGAACACTTGCCTGCAGATGGGGAGGTAGTGAATGAATTCCTTGTTTGCCTTGTGTGCATGTGTGGCTTTTGCTTTGTGTGTTAAACTGTCTTTAGCTTGACCCATGAGTTTTCTCACTTTACCCTTCCAATTCTCTCCCCATCTCACTCTGGGGGATTGGGTGGCTGTGTGGGGCATAGTTGTCAGCTGGTACTAAACACGTACTTAAAGCCCCTACCTGTAACTACCAAATATAAGAACCCCAAAGCAAATAAAATCTGTATATTTCTATACACTTACCCACAAGTTTCTCTGCCAGCATGTTGAGCTGTTCAGAATTGAGTCCACGACCAACGTATGATGAGAATTGCCAGCTCAGTACTTCTAAGAGCTGGCTTAAAGTGGCAGCAGGGGGGTTGTTGAAGAAAGACAAATTCTGCAACAGATGAATGCTTTGTTTAGCTAGCAACCATGAAATACATATCAGGCTGTAAGAGGAGGCTGCAAGTACTTGAGCAGAATCTGGAAGTGTTGAAAGTGAGCTCTGTGTGTGGGGAAGCACTGGGGCAAACGTGTGGGCCCTCCTGCCTGCAGCACCCAGCAAGCTCCAGTGGAGTGCATGAGCGGGGCTGTAGGATGAGACTCCTAGAGAGAGCTAAAGTCCCTGTGTGCATCTTGGATGTTAAAATACCTTGCTATGCCTCTGGTAGTGTCCTGTGTAAAGACAGTGAAAATATGTGTCAGCTTAAATCTTGTAAAAAAAAAAAAAAAAATCGAGATATTATCAGTATATTTTAATGCTTAGTGCATGGAAACTTTAAACCATTACATACTGATCTGGTGCTGTTGAATCATTTGGCTTATCTTAGTTTTTTCATTTGTGTTTTCTTTTTGATTGTACACACAATGGACATACTGAAGACTGTGCAAAAACTCTTTGGAGTATCACAGAGTGATAATGCAGTCCAGCTTGCTGGTCAGCTTGCCTGCCACTATGGCAGACTGTCTGCCCCTTTCCCTACTCTGAGCATCTGTGTGACTGCACTAATCCCCAGCTAAAAGCCTGAGAGCCACTGACAGCCCTGTTCTACAGTCTGCAAATACAGTAACAGTGACTGAATATAAAATATGTGCTGAGACAGCTGGAGCCTTAGAAAGAATGATTCTGCCTTTGCTCAGGGTTAGAGCCAATAGAAGTTGCTACTTAACATTTATAATCTCCACAGAAAGCCCAAGTTACTATAAAATCCAATGGGGGAAAGCAGCCCTTAAGTACATTACAGATTCACCTATATGCTTGCTTTCATGGTTTGGAGTTGTACTGGTAGAATTATTTTCTAACAGGTCTAGTTTTAGTCAGCCACACGCAAGAAAGATAAATTAAAACTAGTGAAGTTAGAGAAGTTATGAAGAATGCCTGTCACCTTTCCTAAGTTTAAGAACTACTACTTTAGGCTACAAAAAGAAAAGCTAAAGGTACATGTGGTTTTATATCTGGGCAGGGGAAGAAAGATAAAGAGAGCAACAATAAAGTGCAAGGTAGATAATTGTGTACGTGACAAAAATAAGGCCAGTTCAAAAGGGAAATACATCTTTTTTACACTTAATGTACTTAGTAACCAAATAATACAAATGTGAAAATGCAGAAAGTCAGTATTTTGCATACTGAGGACCTACCTGAGGATCATTGGTTGACAGGTTGTACCAAATAATAGAGGCCCATGCGTTGGGCAGTTGGCTGACATTGGAAATCATCACCACAGGCAAAGAGCTGGTCTGGTGGAGAGAATGAATGCCCTGTGTAAATGCTGCTGAGGAAAGTATTAGTGCTGTGCTGTGGGTTTTTAACCTCTCATTCTTCCCAAAGCACAGACTTCTTTTCCAGAAGTTCTGGAAATCTTGTGTCACCTTGTGGTTACTGCTGGGGGCCTCACCGAGGGTAGGCAGACCTGTGGTGTGGCCCAGCACAGTTGTACTTCTATAAACTGCTGGAAAATGGCTTTTTCTCCTGCCCCAGATAATCTGTCCTGAATACTCACTTCCAAATTGATGGTCAATCCGTACAGGCAGACCTGTGTTTCAAAGCTGATGGAGTGCAGTTCCTCAGTCACCATGTGAGGGCCCTGAGGGAATAACAAGGTTATAAAGCTGGGAGTGCACAGCTGGCATTTAACACTGTTTTAGTGATCCAGCTGCTGAGGTTACACTTGGAGAGAAAACTCACATCAAATGTATAAGCAGAACAGGAAAAGAAGGAAGCGAAGGAAACAATTTGTTTGTTCAACTCTGACATTAAATTAGTACAGAAGTCTGGTATTTTTTCTGATGAATATAAAATAACCCCTTAATATTGTTAAAACAGTACTTCTAAACTTATATATTTTTCTAAAATGGTACTTTTAAACACAGATTTACATACAAGAAGTTAACAGGTAATTTTTTGTGTCTGATAAAGGATGTCTCCAACTTTCCTTTTCCTAAAGTTTCCTTGCTAATTGACAATTGGACTTTGAACAGGTATGTTCAACTTCAATGAGAAACAAACTAGAAACAAAGCAAATAGCCACAGCCTTAATGACAAATATGCCTTCATCCAGGTTTGCTGTGGGTACTAGTTGAAGGACTACAGGCCTAAATCATTAATCCAAAGGAAATCTGGTATTAAGATCCCAAGCTTTTCTTGGATAGAAAAAAACTAAAATCTGTTTGTCATTGTTGATTAAAGTTTGCTGTATTAGCATTTGATTTGATTACAAAGCAGCATAGCTCTGTAAAGATCCTAATCTCTGCCCCTTAGGAAACAGATTTCCTGAAATACATTTCCATCCTCAGAGCTCAAAGTGTAAAAATATATTTGCTCTTTCCCAGTTTTCATTGTTGTTGGTCTTTCCCTCCTCATCATGCATTTGTCATGTCAGACTTTTCTTTAAAAAAAATTTAAAATTGCAAATCAAAATGCTTTCCCTTACTGAAATATCCAGCTCAACCTGTATTTCTGACACAAAGTTGTAAAGGGTTGGTGAAACAACCCTTCTTCCCCCCATTATGATTTTGCAGAAGCAAATTTTTCTCATGGGAAAGTCATCTAGGCAAAGAGGTACATCTGCATGAAAGGACAAATCTAAGATAGAGAACATCCACTTTTTTTTTTTTTTTTTTTTTTTTAATGAGGCCAGTTATATTTAACTACACTTTTAGCATACTGAACGTCCTATAACAAACCAAGTTTTGAAAGCATTATAGTTGCTGTTAACAAAGAAAATCCCAACTCTTGTTCTGCTAATAACCACTTTCACAGACTGACTTGACCAAGGAGAGGTTCTGTTTGAGGAAATCAGCAGTGAATCAGGTCACAGTTCAGCTGTCCTAATTCTCCACAGCCCTGTGATAGCTTTATATAGTTTTAAAAGCACAATGTGTAAAAGTGGGAGGGAATGGCTGCCAAAACTGGAGTGCCAACACTTCTTAACCTACAATTTTGCATTTGCTTGTTGTGGTATCAGTGATTTTGTAAGCAGCAAAGTAACTGGGAGGCGAGCCTTGAGTTTCAGTCTTGCTAATCGGGTGGTGAGTTGTTCTGTTCAGAAATGTGTGTGAACCAGGCACACATATCTTCTGCTTTAGGTTTTGGTCAAATTCCTCATGCTGATCACACCTTTTGCTTTGGACTTAAAGAATACTTCAAATAACTCTTGTTCTTGCATGACTACAGCTATTTGGGCTGTGATGTGATTTTTTTTTTTTTTTTTTTTTTTTAACTTGTTAATACAACTTTACCCTCAGTTATGGTGTTTTTAGTGCTGTCATGCCATACACAGAGTCACCACGAGAGGGGAACCTATGACCAGGCTGGGACAAGTACAAGTAAATGAAGCACATTTTTGGTCCTGGCTGAGGCAGCAAACCCCTTTGATGCAAAGATAATGACATCCTGACTTCAGCTGTGAACCTGAGCAGCAGAACATATATTTAAAGGACCTTGCCTATAGGAAACAATTATTTCAACCCAAAAATAATATTTAAAAGCTTATTTGATTTTGTTTGTTTGATTTTTCAAAATGTAAATGATCAAAAAGGTAACCTTTTATTGGGATGCACACATTTGAATTATCTCTCTCTACCTTCTATTGTAACTTTTTCAATATACAGACTTCAGGCATGCAATTACAATTTCAGTTGTTCCAAACTGTCCTCATTATACTTATACTAACATAATAATTGGATCATGTACTTTGTATATATTTCAAAATCTAACAACTCTTTGATTTAAATAAAATCAAATGTGAAATATTTGTGGGAGTATGCAAAAACAACATGTAAAATAAATGCACAAACCTCATTTCCTTTGCTTCCAGCACTTGTTTTCATTTCTTTGGGTTGCTGTATAAAGCAAAGCAATATTTATGTATCAGAGAAGCTATAGGCAGAAGTACATATAAATAACATAATTTATAACCAGGATGTTCTTACTTATAATAAGATTTTATTTGCAATATACAAATGAAGTCTAATGAAGACTCTGCACATGGAAAATTCTATTCAGTGAGGAGTCTTCTGATATTTTTAAAGAATTTTTTAGGAAACTAAGTTAATGTAACAAAGGGTGCTTGTCAAGTGTATCCCACAAAAAAATAAAAACCACGCTAAAAACCATCGATCTCAATCTCTTTTTGCAAAACTGCTCTGATGCACTGCATCTGTGGTTAAGCCCCAAAATTACCACAGGTAAGAGAGTGTTAGTCAGAAAGCAGGAGTCACTGGGCTCTCAGAGAACTTACACAAGCAGTGCTCTAGTCTCTCACGAGGCTTTATCACAGGCATTAATTTCCGATAGATTTCAAGCATTCAGTTCTATCTCCCCTAGAAAATTGTGGTGTGGTTTAGGTTTTTTGTTTGTTTTTTCTGTGTGTTGGGTTTTTCTGCTTGGTTTGTTTTTTTTTTTTGCTGTAGTTGGTTTGGTGTTTGGGGTTTTTTTAGCCAAACTCAGTTTCTGTGAAGCTTTTTAATTCAGCATGATTACTCTTTCCTTTTCTGATAATTAGGTAATTAGGATTTGCTTTCTCATTTCTGTAAAAACATATAGTCTTATTTTATGGAATGAATGAAGTATGGAATGGCATAAAGAGGTTCTAGGAGTAATCTTTATATACAAATAGAAAGAAAATGACTGTGGCCTTGACAGTAATACAGTTCTCCCTCCAGAGTTTCTAAAGAATCTTTTATCTACACACAACAGTAAAAAAGTGTCAAACCTACCAAATGTCGAAATTCTACTGACAAGCTTCCATTTGCAGACTCATCCATGTTCATGGCTTTCACATGTGTTCCACACAGAACAAACCTACGGTTACTGCAGAGGATATGACAGTTATGTACTCAAATACCATTGTATTGGACAAAATTAATATATGTGATATTTTGTTGTCTTACCTTACAGTTGAAACATTCCTAAAAGAGAAGAGGGGTGGGGGAGAGGAAACGGGTTGTGAATCAGTAAATGTTGAGACAGAATTTGTACTGAGAAGCATATCTGAGATGGTAGATTTTGCCTGCTCAAAGTTTGTTTGTATTGACCCTACAACTACAATTTTTAAGCTGAAGAACTGAAATCCATACTGTCCACTTAGACTTTTGCATCTGGCCATAGTGTACTTTATCTTGCTATTTATTATCACATGGTTTCACACAGCTTCTGAGAGAAACAGCCCTGGCTTCTCTGTTGTCCCCTCCTCACTGGGTGTTTTCTCTCTTTTTTTTTGGGCCCACATCTATGTCCATGCAGCCAAGGTGGTTTTTAGGGGCTTGCAGAACCACAACAAGCAGAAGGAGGGAGGTAGCTGGTACCTAGGGCTGGGGATGTTGCACTGTGAGAGCTCAGAGCTATTTCAAAACTAACTAGCTCATAAATGCAATACAGTTTGATTTCAAACTTTTCTGTAATGCTGCTGTATCAGTCTGATGATTTTTTTCCTAAGTCTTGAAACAAATCTTAAATGGACTTCTTGCCTCTAATTTGAAACCATCAATTAGTCTTAGCAGCCTTGTTTTTAAAAAAGAAGTCTTCCATATAAAAAAAGAAGTGTTACTCTGATCTTTTAACTGGTGGGTTTTTAATTTTTTTTCCCTTTTCCTTTTAAAAGGAGTTTAAAAATCAGATAGGGTAGCCACTGAAAAAACCTGTGTTGTCTCTGTAGGGAGCAACAGAATATCTTCACTTTTAAGTTTCTTACTTGTCAATAGTTGCTTTCACTCTGATCTGGTAGTTCAGCTCTGGCAGTTTAATTAGCAACCTTCAAAACAGAAAATGAGAGAGTGAATATTAACAGAATGTCTCACCAGAAAACACTAGACTGGTTGCTCCAGATTAAAGCATCAGAAATTATTATAAACTGAAAACAGATTAGGCATCTAGGATTACAACACATTTTATACACAGTATACACAGGGTTGTATACTCAGAAAGAGGAGCTGGGCTGCTCCAGTGGTGGGTGCCCTACCCTCCCTCTAAGTGTGTAGAAAAGTTAGCATGTGTTTGCGGGAGTGGCTGGAGAGACATCATAGTAGTACTAATTAGGAAATGGATTTGTGTAATCTCTGACTGCATCACAGATACACATCTGTGTGCTTTCCTTCTTCATGCACCTCTTCTCACCCCCAGCCCTCCATGAACTTTGAGCTGCAAGGTGGAAATGAAATGACAGTTCTTCTCCAACCTTTGCTCTTTCACAAAGTCGGAGAAGGAGTTTCTGGGAGAGAAGTAACTTGTCTGTGATTCACCCAAGACCCCCAAAATGCAGCAGTTTCTCTTTCTCTGTGCAGAAGTGGCTGTGAGTATTCTGATTTTGGGTTGTGTGATAAGGATCATTATTTACTCAGTTTTTAAAGTCATTAGAACAAGAATTTGATGCATACAGAACCCTAAAGGTTCTGCCTTTAGCCACAGTGTGCCTTTCTTCCTTGTGTTTTACTCTTTACTGCCACTTGTTCTGCGTGCAGATTCTGTGGACTTCATATCCCCATTCCAGAAAAATTCCCTGCAATTGAATTCCCTGCTTTGCTTTCTAGATTCTCCTAGGATAAAATACTGTACACGAATGAAGGAGTTTATATCAGATTTTTTCCCTTACCTTAATTTAACAGTGAACTGTATTAAAGTTTTGAGAACCATTGGCCTCTGGGGGTGTGTTGGCATGCAGGGCTGCCTTTCAACCACGAAGGAGCTGTGTGAGAAGTGAAACAAATAGGTTTTTAGGAATACGTATGGACAAAGAGATGGAGTTTTTTTGGCGAAGGGGAAAGGGAAAGGGGCTGATATTGCTCAAAGACTTATTTCTCTAAAGATGCCAAAGTGGGAACTATGCATTCCAGCTCTCAGTTCTCAAACTGATCCAGTGGTCTAACTTTCCCTGAAATTGTTCCCATGAGAAACAGATATTTGTAAGACACTGAAAATCACACCAAATTCTATAATTCTAAAATACAACGATGATAAAAGTCTTGGTCTTCCAAAATTTTATCAGAGCCATAAAACAGAGTATGAAAATACACTAAGCATAACTCCAATTAAATTAAATTATATTCATTAAACTATAATTTTAATTTGTATATATGTGTAGAGCAAACAATTGAGCCCACTTTGCTTTCAGAGAACTCAGTTGTAGTATATCTCTAGTATAGCCTGTACAAAAGGCAAGAGAAATTATGCTAATATTTTATCTGCTAATAGAAGTGTGAGCTGGGAGGGCAGCAAGAAGTATAGCTTGAGAGGGCTTTTCTCAGCAGAATGTAGATAACTCCTCCTAGAACAAGGGGATTTCTGGCATTCATTTAAGAGTCAGAACTTGATGACAAACCCCTAAATGCTACCCATGAGAAGCTGCCTGGAACCTTCAGTTTCTGTGAATTCTGACGACAGCTGTACATACTTCTTGTGTTAGGAACCTGGTCCTTAAAATCCTCAGACATTCAAACTTTTTTTTTTCCTTTTTCTTAACAGTGTGTTCTCGTTGTTGTACCAGTTGAGGTAAAGTTCTGCACTTGGCAGTGGCTTACGCACTTCCGGAAAAGGTTGTAGAGCAGAAAGTTGACTTTTTCCAGCAGCTGAGGTCTTTGCACAGGAATAGGGTCCCCATCGTAAGTCAGCCTGGTCAAGAGTTCATCCAGCTTTTCTAGTTGCCTTCTGACTTGAAAGAGACTCTCTGCTAACAGCGTAAAGCTACAGCAAGACAAAAGGTTAATTTGCAATCTTTCTTGTAAACTGTTTCTTAGAATGCAAGAACTACTGAAGTTCTTGCTTGGGGAAAATCAGAATCTGTATTGAGTGGTGCTTTCCAGCTTTGCCCAAACTCACATCCATTCATCTTTTGTTTACAGGAGTATATAAGTACATTGGGCAAATCACCTGCTTTATCTTCAAAGATAAATATTTTCACAACAATGCAACACTGTCTGTGATAATTTGGAAGAAATACATACCTGGTCCTGATGTTAAACATGCAGGGCACTTGTGCCAAGATTAATTATTTCCTACAACTCGGGAGTTTTGCAAAATGTACTCTTTAAAAGGATAATATTTATATAGAATGAGCAAGTTAACAAGACTAAAGAAGTGTAAAAGCAGTAAGGAAAAAGAAATCCAAACACACTTGATAACACTTCAATAGGATATGTGCATATAAAATTAGATTTTAAAGCTATTTTTAGCATGTTCATTGGGGAAAAAAATACTTCAGTGAAAAAAAAAAAAAAAGAAACCTACACAGATAAAAAAGAAGCAAAAAAACACCTTTTTTTTAGTCCTAAAATTTTCTTGGTAATTTTCCTTCCTTTTAAATTCTTTTTACTTCACCTTTTCCATATGAGAATTTGGATGGGAGAGTAATGACCATAATGTTCTGTTGACATTGTCTGGGTACACTATCTTTTAAATATATTGCTATTTTCTTTTTATTTGCAATCACTTCAGAATTGCCATCACAGAGACTACTGCCATTCAATACCTACACAACGTAAAGTCTGGAGGAGTGAGTCAAAGCATAAAGCCTCTACCCAGCTCCTGCCTAGACACAACTCCCACCGCCTTCAATGACAAACTCAGCCAGCACCATTCTTACTCAAGCAAAACTCCCAAGAGAGTACATGTCATTTATCTGGAGGATACAAACCCAAAAATTAGCGACTGCCACGAGTCAGGCTCGCGTTCACTCTGAATAACGAATGTTGCTTTTAGTTAGCACCTTTTAGTTATTTACTCTCTTAGCTGCTGGTGAATTTGCCGCTGTTGCAGCTGATCTAAAGGAATGATCATTTCAAGCGCAGCAGACTTCCTGTGGTTTTCGGTGGAAGCGCGAGGTCAGGGCAGGTTTACCAGTTCTGGAGCTGATCGAGCCCCCCGTGGAGGGGCCCCCCGATGCAGGCGATCTGCTGCCGTCTCTTCCAGTCCAGCAGCTCCTCGGTCAGCATGTTGCTCATCAGCATATCGATCTCATGGATCACACGCCCTATTTTACTGAGCACCTCCTGGAAAATAGGAAAGGTGTCACTCACTGACCACAGGCAACAGCCGCAGAATTCACCAACTATTATGAAGCGCTTACTACATTTTTTAAAATTATTCTGAAAGTAACCATATTTAGTTCCTATTGCTTCAGTGACAGGATTCATCACCCATTGTACATTAATCCTGAATCCCTATGAACTCTTCTTCAGTATTTTTTTTTTTTGGGGGGAGGGTAGGAGGGAAGAGTGTTGCATTCTTTGTGGGCATAATATCTCCAAGATTTTGACATTTGTAAGCTCCGTCGAGTTAACAAAATTCTGATTTTGTTTTGCATCATATAAAATGCATTGTGGTTTTGTTTGCTTGATTTAAACATAACCCTGCCCTCATGGACCCAAAATGCTTCACTCTTAAGGTGTGCAGAACCATATCCTTGACTGAGCTGTTACTTAATTGCCAGTTTCTTAACTTCTAGTCAAAATCACCCAGACCCGCCCAAACATTTTGCAAATTTTTAACTCCTGTGAAATGAGTCTGTTCTTCTAAGATGAAAATCTAGAAAGGCACACATACGCATTTGAGTATTTGGTGTGAGAAAAAGGGGAGAAAGCAGATTAACCACAAATGAGAAAACATTGTCACTAACCTTTCTCTTGTAGTCTAAAGTATTGAGCATTGCCTGCAACGCCAACATTTCCTGTTTAATGAGGGCGCTGTTTTTGTCATTCTGTTCTGCAGGGGACAAAAAAAAAAATCAGTATAAATACATGTGTTGGGTGTGTGTGCCTGTTTATAAGGGGAGAAGAGGGAAAAAAAAAAACCACTACCAGACTCCAGCAAGAACTAGTGAAAAAATAAACTGTGGACATCAGTAGATTATGTAACAGCATATTTAATATGAAAGGACTAAATTTAGTAAAAGTTTAACATAAGGTTTTATGGGTTCTGTCTGTAGATGTGTGTGGGGGGCAGCAAAAGGCAGAAAACATACATATGATACCTAGAGTTCTCTAAATTTCTCATCCCTGTTCATACTCCCGTGTGTTATGTACATCTGGCTCAATGATTGATCTGTACACACAAACAGCTCGTGGTGTCAGCAGTTCGGCTAAAGCTCTTTGGGCTTGATGTGAATTACAGTGTGTGTCTGAGAGGCATTTGAAACATATGAAGTGTTTATCACCAGGGGAATTTCAGCAGCCAGGAGCACTGATCACTGGGCATTTCCCACTTTGTCTAACGTTTGTCCTCCTCTGGGTCAGGCACTAGTTTCAAGAGTCCCCAAGCTCAGCCATGCTCTTTCACATGCAGCTCTTTCCCACCCTCACTTTCCCCGACCTTTTGCATCTTTCATGCTGCATTCAAAAAAGAAATCGGTGCTAACTGTGTGCCTGCTAAGCTCTGGATGGATGCCTTCCTATTGAGTTAGGGTAAATGTTTCAGTGGAGGCAGACAAGTAACCAGCACCACCTCAGCCACAGCAATTGCTCCCACACACCTAAACTGGCTGTGCTGGAGCAGAGCAGTGAAATTTTAAGCCGTGAGAGTAATTTACTGTCAGCATGTTTTATTTTGCAAGTGGGGCAGCTTTCAGGTATCTCTGTAGTCACTCTGACCTGATGATTAGCAACTCATTGAACCATGGCAACTCTTCCGATTGCTGGGTCATTTCCAGCCTTCAACAATTAGGATTTATGTGCTTAAGGACTTGGATGTTTCAAGCTCAGTATCCTTGAATGTTCAAAGGAAGATAATATAATCATATCTGAGAATATAAAGATATCTGAGCAGACACAAGCAGACCCCAGTTTCTTTTCTGAAAGAAATCATGCAAGACCTGTTCCACATGCAGATCTCAGCCATCACAGGCTGGTCAAACATGCATTCAGAGTGCTTACCAGCTGGTTATCACCACTGTGGTCAAAAAAGAACAGAAAACCAAATTAGAAGCGAGAAAAATCAGTCCTGCATGACCCTGGGACATAAGAGTCTCTTCCACATTCTCCCAAAGAAGGGCTATGTAAAAGGTGAGGATATTGAAAAATAGGTTCTTTAAATTAAGACATATGCTACTTTGCATGCCATTAGGCAGCTTATCCATAGGAAATAATCATACTTTCTTAACATGAGCCTCTTTACCCTCTTAACTCCAAAAGAGTCATTATGTTCCAGGACTATAACTTTATATAAACCAAAGATCCATTTTTATGTTTACATATATTATTTAAGTAATGCACAAAACCCCCTGATGCTGGAGTCCAGCTGCAGGATCAGCCATTTCCTAGGAAATCTAGAAATTAGTATAAAAACTCTTACCTAAGCTCTGTATTGTTTTGTACCTGAAGTCAAATTCCTCTTGCAAGTCTTCCAAATATTTCACATCTTGGTCAGTCATCTTTCCCAGGAGAGAAATGAACAAAGGCATAATGTAGCATCTTCCTTCTCACCATTTGAAAATCCCTGAACAGTTCTGAGAACCCTTGTTTTAGTATCTTGTAAACTTTATAAAGTATGATTGAATAATAAATTTATAGCTACAGATATATTTTACTTGTTTAAAAAGTCAAATATTATCCTCTATCCTGCATTTGGCAGTGGTTGATACAGCTTTATCCCTTCTTGTTTACTAGTGCAATGACATAGAGGAAAATAGGAATGATTGTGTTAGCCTGAGCTAAACTGAAAGTGTTATGCCAATAATGCTACTCTCTTCTTGAAACTTTAAAGCAGGGCAAAGGGATAATTTTACATTTACTTAAATGGAAATTTAATTGGGGTGTGCAAAGCTAAAAAAGATGGAGTCAGACACAGGAGTAGAGCTCACAGAATTTATTTACAGAATGTCTTAAGAATTTGGATAAAGAAATGAAACTTTTTTGCTACTTTGGCATTTTGCAGCTTTCTTTTCTTTTCACTAAATATATTTTCTAGTAACCAAACAATGATAATTCAAAACACCGCATCAAAAGAAGGAAAATAAAACTAGGAAATTATCTGTTGTACTTCGAAGGTCTATTTCTGTGCTGTTTATGGGAAGCCTTGATTTTGCCAACTCATAAACAATCCTGTTTGGTTTCCTAAGATGAGCACATTAAGAGTCTGTGAAAATACAGAAACTTGTTTGCTAAATGAGCCCACATACAATTAGCCATTTTGCTTACTCTTTCTTTTGGAGATTAAAGTTTTAAATTATATGTGTAAAGTATGAAATTGCATGCACGAAGAGCTGGCTAATTTCTGCATTCAACTTAATTACCTACTAAAAAAAACCCAACCCTGCTATCTAGAAAATGTTCTCATTTTCACTGGTCCTCAGAGGTGGCTGTGCTTCCCCACACAGGCAGGAGGAGGAGGCTGCTGTTTGTCTGCTCTGCAACTCCTATCTTACAACTTTAGAGACCTAGTATTCCATTCTTCTGAAACTACTTTATCCTTCTAAGAGTTTGATCTCTCTAACCCTTCTTCTCTGTGAAAGGAGAACTGATGAGAGAATGCTGCTAGGATCTCTTTCCAGTATACCAGAAGTGTTGCTCTTGAACAACATATGGACAGGTATTTCAAATATAGTTTCTACACTGAGACTGCTGCAAAGCTGAAAGTGGGGGTGGGATAGCAAGAAAGCCATGGGCACTCCGGATCCTTATCCTGTGATTGAACTGCATGGACAGGTATTCTCTGAGCTTTCAAGGTCTCTGGGACATAGCTACAGGTTTGGCTCAGCCCAGCTCTGGCTTGCAATGGCATGAGAAACTCCTGGAGAGTGGTTAGCATCAGCTGCCAGTGTTCTTGTCCCCTCACGACTCCAAACCATGTAATTATGTCACGTAGCCTTCGGCTCAACAAAGTTCTCAATACATGACTCAGAGATGGTGAAGGTTAAGCTGCTGCTGACCCTGCTAAAGGAGGTGAAATTGCAAAAGTATATTTTCTGAGCCTTGCATATTTTTAGAGACTGTAGGTATGCTCTTACTGCACTCAGTGGTCTGCCTGCAACTTCCCTAGGGAGGACTGTGACAGCTGTAAAAGGAGCTCTCACTCTGAACCCAGACAGCTGCTAACACCCAAGGATCCTGGTGTGTCCTGAGCTGTTTGTCCAGGCAGATGTCCTTGGAATAATGGAAAATGTCTGTTGGCAGAAGTCTTTGTGCTACCCAGCTTAAAGGCAGTTCAGGTGTGTCTGTATGAAAATCATGTGGGCAGAGACAGCACACAGGACAAAAAAGGTACCTGAGCACTGTTCTTGATCGCTGATACTTTGTGTTCTACATTTCTTTGACGTTCTGAAACCACAGAGCTCTGCAGAGACTTTTCCAGTGGCCCCTGGAACACATTGAACAGATAATTGGTGGGTGAGTAATAATAATATAGGTGATAGAAACTGTACTGCAAGTTCCAGCACAGAGAGGGAATTCCTAAGCCAGTGTTCAACCATCTGGAGACTGCTGTAAACACACAGACAAGTTTAGTTCTAGACATTTGAATAACTTTAACTTTGAAATCCAAGAGATTAAATGGTGTGGGTATACTGCAGGCATTAAACATCTAGTAAATTAAATATAGGTTATTAGATTTTTTTTAAAAGATCCATGGCACAAGACTCATATAGGAATACATATTATATCCATAAGTGATTAACAGCAACACATTTGTCTTAAAAATTCTCTCTGAGTTTTAATCATGTACCAATTTCCCCAAAATAAGTTTCGTATGCAATTTGAATTATTTTTTTCTCCAAACAACATAAAAATCATCAATAACTCTATAAAATATAGAATGGAATGTCTTTTGCATTCCATAGTTAATATGAATTAATGCATTGCATAATTTGAAATACACACATCTGTTTTGCAAAGAATAATCTCTTTAAAACCTTTCCTACAGATTAAAGTCTTTGAAGATTAGCTGTGACATGGAAGTCCCTCATAGCAATGTTTCCAGCAGAAGAACCACTAATGAAACTCAAATGTGAGTTTAAAGGGCAACATTTGGCAACCCCTAGTGCACACAAATCACTTCAGTGGGATGAGGGGACAGGATTTGGCCTGAAAAGCATGTGACCAGATTAAATTGGAGCAGATTAATGAAACGTAATTCATTACCTGTACAGGCATGCTGGCTGCAGCCAATATTCTTCTTTCTTCTCTTAAGCAGTTTGAGATGATCACTGCTATATGCATGGGATTACCATGATATTTGCCCTGCAAGCACAAGTAAATACAATTTTAAAAAAATCCAGAATTCAGGATGTCCCTCTGGAAATCAAAAGCAACATGATGTATGAGTGTCTATGAATGTACAGATTGGTGTGGGTGGAAAAGACTCCCCCTTTCTTATGCTAGTTCAGCCTTTCAGGGCAGCATCAGTCACTGCCACTGTCATAAAATATTCTTAACAATGTTCCACAGAGATTATAACGATACAATTGCGAGATGTGTATAATTTGGAGATCAAATTGTTCCCCTGATAACACAGCTGTTTTGAAAGGGTTTTCCTGTCAGCCTATTCTGGGCACAATTTTATCACATCTTCGATTTTCAATAGGATGTTGCTGCTTAGCATGTAGCACTTCTGCCAACAAAAAAGTTTGTAAGCATATCAATATGGTAATGATGCAAGCAGGAAAGCTTCCTCAGCATAAAGCATAAGACTTAAACTAATGTCTATGAACAATATTTCTCTTTAAAAAAAAACAAAACAAAAAACAAACAAAAAAAAAACCAAACATGCCTGAGATGAAGGAATAAGTAACTTTTGTCCCAAGCCAAAGAAACAACAACAAAAAAACCCCTATATTTTTACACCACCATAAATAAAGTGCTGAATTGCTGATGTGTGACTGAGGACGGGGCACAATTTGAACTAATATTGATTTATGCTGTATTTATAAAATTGGAATGATCCAGGACTCTCAAGCAGCTTCCTTTATGGTGATATATTCAGTGTTTCTCAGTATCTTTCATGCCTTTCATTCAGTATCATTCATTCAGATACCCTTCATTCTATGCTCATAGTGCTTGTCCATTCATCAGAGTTAATCAGTTTAATTTCTTTTCCTGTACAGTTTCCAGTTCTGGACTTACTCTATTTTTTCCTCTTTATCATTAGTCTTTATTTGCATCGTATCTCCCTGCCACTCAGAACCTCTTTTATTCTAGCTGTCTCTGAACGTGGCACAATAACTTTATACATACTTTAATTGATGACATATCTTCCTTTGATATCTCATACCAATTGTTATGTTAGACACAAGGGTGTGAATGCATCTGAAAGAAAGGTGAACACTTTGCTTCTGTATGCAACAAGTACCATGGCATTAAACATACCTTTCTAATGCTTTTCACTAAACATTTCCTGTGAGCTTATGCATTAAATGCGTAATCTGAAATATGGTTTGACTTCAATTGCGAAGTAAAGAAATACTATATTAAAAATGGTAGTTTTGATCATGGCAACTTGGTTTGAGTTGCTTGGTATTAAATACCATGCAAATAACAGATAGTAAATACTGTGTAAGTACTGTGGTTCCAGGTATGGACTAAGGTGAAAGATAAACTTAAATAACCTTAAAACTAAATAACCAAGGTACCAAATGTTCTCTTCCAAGGAAGCTTTGACTGCCCTGTCATTGTTAGCAATGAAATGACTCTTTGTTTCTATGGTTTCTGAAATCTTTTCAAAACAGGGATAAGTACATGCTCCACAGTGCAACTGGTGCACACCCAGAGTAGCCCCAGTGCTGTGCCTGCTTTGATCTCCTTAAAAGCAGTTCAGGATGGTGCTTTACTCCAGCAACCATCTGTATCAATTACCCTGAGGAACAGGAGTTATGAACATGACTGGTTTTAGGAGCTTCTCTGTAAACAAGAAGTGGTGAGTAATACTACCCAGGACACACTATGCCTCAGATGAAACACCAAGCAGTCCCTCCCTGCCTGCTCCTTCCTGGATACACTGCTGATTTCCGTGTCAAATAATAGTGCCAGAGATCTGTCACTACACATTTCTCCCTGGCAGCTCCATGGCTGTAAAGACAGTAACTATGATATCGCTGCATGCTTCCCACAATACCACTGCACTTCAGGTCCAGCAGTATATTCACAGTCCCCTTTACTGGGCATATTCCCAATCTCTTTCTCTGTAGTGTCAGGATGCAGCTTTGGGAAGGGAATAGAGCAATGTGGGAAATGGCTGTGATCCTCCTGCAAAGGGTTGAGTGGGGTGTCATGTGGAACTGAGGTCCAGCAGCAACAGCCAGGGCAAATTAACTGCTGCAAAGAGTGGTTGTGCTCCTGGCTGTGCTCCAGCCCAGTGCCTGACTCCTTAGGGAGCCAATCCAGGTCGCTAACTGGCATGGAAATGACTCATGCTTCTTTTACTGACTGGGTTTTCTGCTCCTTGGTGGACTGAAACTGCTCAGCAAAGGATCAGTTTATTGTTAAGGACGAGCACTTGTGAAGTTGGGAGAGGGAGGAACAGCCCTGCCTTATTTCAGCTGTTATGGCTAAGCCTGTCTCATCCATCTGCACCTTGATTAGAGAGGGAAAAGTCCTGTTATGATAAGGTTTGGGATGAAAGCTGTGGGGAGAAATCTGCCACTGCTGTAAGTCCACTGATGGGCATATGAATTTGTCTGTTAATTTCTGCTTGTGCTATTACTCCTTTTTGGTAGTAAAACAGGGTTTCACCTTCCCCCTTGGTGACCACTAAGTGGCCATGCCATATGTTGGTACTTGAAGATGCTTACCTTAGTCCTGGCTTACCACTGCCCAACAGAATTCCAGCACGGCACGGGTTTAAAGAGGTCCAAAAAAAGCTATTTGACCAAACCAAGAAGTAAATATCCTCTCTTGGAGCTGGAAAAATGCATTTACGTAGAAGAGGCTCTTAAAATTCTGACAGTGGGATGTGTTAAAATTCCCCACAAAGGATGCCAGTTATTAGGGACTTCCCTAGCGTTTCTAGACACGATTCATATGCAAAACTTTCAAAAACTCTTTCTTTCTCTCCTTTTCTTTGTTTCATTAAGAGAAAAATATCTGAATCGAGAGATGCAGCGGAAATTCACTTTCCCCCCTCTCTTTCTTTCTTCTCTAATTCATACATTTGTAGAAACAAGCTGGGTCCATCGTGATTCCCATACTTATGCCAGGCTGGTGCTTCTTCAAGTTGATTCAGTTTGAGCAGATAACAAGAAGGTCAACAGAGAGCTGCTACCTGTTCTCCAGGAGCACCCCCTTTTGCAGTAAGGGAGCAGATGGATTGCAACTCATCAGTAATAAATTGATATACGAATTATAACACTAACTATATCAATAATTGCAACTTATTGAATAATGCTAGCTACTAAAAGTCACAATAACCATGTTTTTGACTCTGGAAAAATAATAACACTAAAAAAAATCTGAAATTCTGTCTGTGTTTTATACCTCTCAGCTGTAATTACACTTTGGAATGCACTGCTTGATATTCCCTTATTATTCACCTACTGCCAGCTCTTGTTGCTCTGCACTTCTATTTTGTCTTTGGCTGAGGGCAGAAATTGACCAACATGACCTTGATTTCTGAAAGACTAATTGAAAATTATCTCCTATCAGCAAAAGAGTAGTGTAAATCTCTTGGAAGTTGGAAAATAAGGGAATTTTAACAAGAAATGGCTTGAGATGGGGGAATCCTAACTTAGAGTGACATGAACACTAGCAGCCAGAAGAGGAAGAAGAGTGTGGATTCTTTAGATACAAAAAATTGTATTAATAAGTTTAAACATGTAAGGAGAAAATTTATATTTGTCTTTTGACAAATACCAACACAGAGAAATTGAGGATTTGCTTTTCTTTCAAATCAAAATATCTGCTAATATTACTGTAATTTTGCTGTTCCTAGAAGTTTTCTTTCTCCTCTCTCCTGTTCCAATGAGGTCTTTCCATGCCATGAATTACAATAAACAACAAAATATCTTATTTGGACTGAATTCTTCTCTAGAACTACCAGCATGATGCTAAATTTAAGGAAGCAGGGGGAACTTGAACTTTCATTCTGAACAGGTGACAATTTTCTGAGAATGCTGATGACATTTCCTTGGAGAAAACCTTCCTAGTGCCACCTGGCATGCACTCTTTGCACTCCAGGGACATCTGTTGTGACAGTACCTTACTAGATCATGGAGAAAAACAAAGAGGCATTTCTCCAAAAACAGTTTGTACATTATAGCATGCAGAGTTTACGCTCTGTAGCCAAATTTTTAAACAGCTTGAACTCTTTGGAGTATGTTAAAGGTACATGAAACAGTGGCTTACTCTTATTTTCTTCCCATTTTTAAAATTTCAAAATTGTAGCTGATTTTCCTGTGGGTGGCTCTATCACAAAGTGGATCACTCCCAGCCACACTAACACTGACTGCTTTCCATGTGCCAAAGGGCTCTGTACACACCTATCAGCGAATACTGGATGTGCACTGTGTGAGCAACCGGCTCTGTTTTCAGTGGGTAAAGCAGGGGATTAGCTGTTAGTTGGTCTTGACTTGTAAAGTAGAAGGATGTGCTATGAAACCTTTAGAAAGTCAGTCAGGGGTTTGCCTGATTATCTCTGTGTCTTCAAGGTGACCTAAAAAAGGATTTGAGTAGGTTTTGGTGCTTTCCAATTCTGAAAATTGCTACAGAATATGGTCAGGTTTTATCTTCTTTTCTCCTTTTTCTTTTATTTTTCTTTTTTTTTTTTTTTTTTTTTTTTTTTTTTTTTTTTTACTCTCAAAGCCATCAGCTGTATTTCTTGTCATTTCTGCTAGAAAAAGTCTTTCTCGAGCCTTTTAATTATATACAATAGAAGCTTTACTTGGAGGTGTGGAAGGGTTATTTAGTATGACCATCGAATCGAAGTGCTTGTTCATACTGAATGAATATTTAAAGAAGCTGATGGAAGGGAGGAGAGATAGGAAACAGCAAGACAAAGTCAAGCAAAAATACATTCCCTTCCCTGTTGCTCACTTGTGATATGATTATTTTACAAAGTCTGGTACTCAGCATCTTTCTGGATAAGCAAATATCTCATCTTTCATAAAATGAAAAACAGGGAGAAAAACCCCTTTTGTCTATAATTTTATTTTTTGAAAGGAAGAAAGATTTGGTTTAGCTGTGTATCTCGAATGTGTGGGTGGGAAGGCATAGCTGTACATACATATTTCCCGTTTTCACCTTCAAATATG